GATTAAAATTCAAATGTTACTTTTGCATCAACTTGATCATTTGGACTATTTATCACCTGCAAAACAGTCTTGACTGACTCCTTTATTAGGTCTCGAAGGCTACCTAGTTCTTCAAATACATCTTTCCTAAAATCTTCACACAATGTTGTTTAGGAATACATGTTACCTTCTCACGACCTATTTTTAACTTTGTTTTTTTTACGAAAAATAGACTTCTTTTCCTCTTTTCCAATTGATTTTTTGGGTTCTAATCGAGGACCATCAACTTTGAGATCCTCATAAACATGTTCAACATCTTCAATTATGTACTCAACTTTGTCAGGAAAAGACATCACTGAAAGCTCTTCAGGTGATTCATTTATGTTGGTGAACAGAATGATAAAAAAAATTAGCTATTAAGGCAGAATATGTATACAAATTGTAGATATTTTGTAGGTAAATTGTATAATCATAAATAAAAACCATTTACCTTCATCCATTCAGGCTTGATCATTCTGTCTTCAATTGCAGCTAATCAAATCTGACCCTTACTAGCTGACTAGTTAAGTATGCGAGGGATTGAATTAGAAATCCTTGTAGCTATATCAATGTTGACGGAGAAGCAACACTCATACAACCATACTTGCATGGCTAGTGGGAATCCTCGAATGAGATAAGAATGAACGAAAGTATTTAGCATGTGCCTAACTGATTCAATCAACTGTCTGTAAGACTGAATACCCCATGGAAATGTCTCGTACTGACCGGATTCCACCAAGTAAAACATAAAATGATCTACCAAACCAATATGGTCTCTCTCTGAAGGACAAATGAAGAACTCTATGAGATATAGAATACATAACTTTACTGCATCCTCATCATTTACCCAGCTTTTGCTGGTTACTATCTGTTTTAGGTATGTCTTCTCCACTTTTACTTTGTTTGGAAAGTAACTGCTCATTATCTTACTGACATAATTAGGAGTGTAACCAAAGTCTGTCACCTCGGTATGACATTTAAGACCAGTTATTACTGCAAACTCTCTCAATCCAAAATTTAACCTCTCACCTTTTAGCTTAGCTGAAAAATATGAAGCATCGGATTAATTCAATTCATACTTCATAAGAAGATGAATAGCTTGATTTTGCATGCTTAAATTGGGAATGACAGTAAATAACCAAAGCATGTCTTCTTAAATAGCTTCAAACCATTTGGAGACAAAAGCGCTTTAATTTGGCTAGGAATGCCAAGGTCACATAATGTTTGGAATCTAAGCACCCCATAATCAACATTATGGGATGCAAAAAATGTCCATTCTGCAAAATTCAAAAAATATAATCTAACATTAATACAGTGATTAAAAAACATAGATACATTTGCATTTTATCTACAAAATTACTTCAAAAAATATATAAAATATCAACCATTTTAAACAGATCAACAAATCTACAATTAATCTTCAAAATTAAGACAAATAATCTTACATTAATTCAGGGCTTAAAAAACATAGATACATTTGCAATTTATATACAACATTTCTACAAAACATCTACAAACCAAAAACAACACAAATTATGTAGATTTTTAACAACTAAAACAAGCGAAATAACTAGTGAAGAAATTACAAAATTCTTACCTTCACCAATGACTGTTTTCGAACATTTTTAGGAGATTCAACACTAGGGGCTTTTTTTTTTGAATTTTTCTTCTTTTAGGGAGTTTTTGAAATGGGAGCCACCTTCGCTTTCTTTCCAGGTTTACTGATAGGCACATCTTCTACAAAATCATCATCGAACACTATCTCTTTTCATTTCCTTTCCGCTTGTTTGATTGGCCTCGAAGATTCTCCAACATCGAAATCATGTTTTTGTTTAGTTCTAGCTTCAGCCCTGATTTGACGCGGAGAAAGACTATGCTTCATATCTACAATTGCATCTGCAGATTTCTCTTGCTTTTTGGGTGAATGTGGTGATAATACACCCAAATCGAAAGAAGGTATATCAGCTTCTAGAGCTTTTTTAGGGCTGTGCTTTGAAGGTTTGTTCTTCTTCATTGAGAAATTTTGAAGCTAAAGGTAAATGTGTGTATGAACTTTGAAGATTTGACTTCAATTTTGACTGGTTGTAGAAGAAAAAAATTGAATTTGGACGTTAATTGTAGGGGGTTACATATGTTTCTCTGGTTTTAGCAGAGGGAATAATGGTTTGAAACGTGGGTGTGGGATGATACGTGGGTGAGGGTGAGGGTGTGGGTGAGGGAGAGTAAAATGTGGGGAGGGGGGATTTGGAGGAATATACGGTACCATTAATTTAGGAGTGATATACGGTACGATTAATGTATCGCTAAAATACATTATGCTATAGAATTGATAATTAGGTATATTAAATGTAATTATATCAAACCTTAAACATTGAGGGTAATATAGTTTTCTATATGGCATAGGAATGTAAAAATTTCTAATTTTTTTGTTAATAGAAAGAAGACCTAATCAGAGGTTGAAAGCCCACTCCATTTGGAGAGAAGGCACAAAAGAAAAGAAAGATGCCCCAGCCTCCAGACAGGAGAAAAGGGAAAAGAGAGGGGGAAGTGCACGGTTGGTCACTAATAACACATGTATTTACTTTTAAGCCACTGTTTAAAATATCTTTAGTCTTTAGCCACTGCTTTAATAAACTTTAACTACCCGGACGAAAATACCCTTCTACTCATGTCCTTAACTTCAGGACCTCAGGACTACATGTCCTTAACTTTTGAGCTTAGAACTCTAAGTTCAGGACTTCAGGACTACATGTCCTTAACTTTTGAACTTGTAACTCTAAGTTCAGGACTACATGTCCTTAACTTTTGAACTTCGAACTCTAAGTTCAGGACTTCAAGGCTACATGTCCTTAACTTTTGAAATTGGAACTCAAACTTCAAGAGCAAGCATCCTTAACTTTTGAACTTGTAAGTCAAAGTTAAGGACCTATTGTCCTTAACTTTTGAACTTGTAATTGTAAGTTAAGGGCTGCTTGTCCTTAACTTTTGAACGTGTAACTATAAGTTAAGGACTGTCTGTCCTTAACTTTTGAACTTGGAAATCAAAGTTAAAGACCTATTGTCCTTAACTTTTGAACTTGTAATTGTAAGTTAAGGGCTGCTTGTCCTTAACTTTTGAACGTGTAACTATAAGTTAAGGACTGTCTGTCCTTAACTTTTGAACTTGTGTTCTTAACTATTGAACTTAACTTTAGGACTTCAAGACTACATTTCCTTAACTTTTGATCTTGAAACTCTAAGTTCGGGACCATGTCCTTAACTTTTGAATTTAACTTTAGGACTTCAGGACTACATGTCCTTAACTTCTGGGAAGGAATTGCATTTCCTGTTTACTCATCACTCTTTTTCTTATTTTCACAACGTCATATCTTAATTTTTTTTTTAAATCTAGAACCTCTCCCCATTCTCCTTTTGCTTTTGTAATCGTTCTCTTATGTTCTTCATGCTTGTTTAGCTTATCAACAAGAACTATAACCAACGCCATTTAACATTCAGTAGCATTAATAGAAGTCATACCATTTGGTGCTCTCGTTGACCTTCATTACCAATGGGTGAAGGTGAGGTTTCGAATATACGATTGCGCACCTTAGATGCGGAAATGAAACAGTATAAATACACTGCATTTTCGTTTGGGAAAAGAGATAGAAGAAAGGGTAACACAGTCTTTTCATATTAATTTTAATAGGCTAGTGGCTATCATTGCTAAGCATTAAAAATACTAGATAAAAAGTAAATACCAGCTTAAACAATGGCTATTCCACACCATTTCTAAGAAAAGAGAATTAGTGGCATTTGGGCTACCTAAAGAGTTAAAGATAGAAAAGAAGCACAACAAATAAATGGGCTAACACCATGTCCTCAATATCAACAAAGAAACTCATTGGACATAACTATCACATAAAGTAGAAGAGATGATCTAGAATTTCAAGAGCATGGATGTATCATGAGCATCAAAAACTTGAGTTTCCGAGAGGAGTGTTTGAGAGATATATTTTTGATTTAGCGATTTTAAAAGTCAAAACAAATACTAAAAAAAGACAACGGAAAAAACTAAAAAGAAAACGTGTAACCAATAGGGGGGGGGGGGGGGGGGGGCACAAAACAATGTCTTTAATTAGAAAAAGCGGCAAAGGCATGGGGATTTACTTTTATTTATTAATTAAAATATAATTTAAGAGAAGAAATGATACGGGAATCGAACTAAAAGGTAAAAGGTGTAACTCGTTACCAATGCACTAAAATGGCTACTTAAATTTGGGTTTATTCATGCTAATTTAAGTATTTGAACTGAAATCCGCTGATAGTTATATATAATTTAGGGAGAGGCGGATAAGTTCTCGTGACTTCTTTTATCTAAACTTCTTGTTGTTTGACTAGTTGCCTCATAATACCAGTTGACCATTAATAAAAAGAAAAAAGAAAAAAGCTTCTTCTAATAATAAAGGAATAAACTGTACTTATTTTCTATTCCTACTACTGCGGCACGTGGATCATGACTAAAAAAGATGATAGGCTTATTTCAACCATATAATATTAAATTATAATTTTATTTAAAAAGAACCATATATATATATATACTTGGTGCCCAAGTACCACCAACTCTATGGTCACTTGTTGTTCTGAATATTTTAAATATTAAGGACCATACTTTGATTTTCCAAGTAGCACTAACTCTGTTGTAACTTTCATGTGCTTACAAATATTTTAAAATGGACCATACTTGGTGTCCAAGTAAAATTAACTATATGGTCACTATAAGATGCTTATACTGAACCAATATCTAATTCATCTTTATCTCTCCTTCTAATCAAAACTTTTGTGTTTCTCAGTCCTTTATTTCTTTTTTTGGCACATCTTAAGTGAAATTTTTATGTGCTCTCTTTAATCAAAGGGTTTCTATTGCTAGTTCTCGAACCAGATATATATCTCTGATTAATTAAGAGCAGAAGATTCGAACCATCCCACCACACCTTTCGGCCAAGATGGATGTCCCCGACACACAACAAAATTATGATAAACAAAGTGAACTAAAAGCCTTTGACGACACAAAAGCTGGTGTCAAAGGGCTAATTGATGCTGGGATTACTAAAGTACCTCGAATATTTATTCATCCAGAGGCCTTAGAAAACCCCTCGAGCCCCAGAAAAACACGTTTTATTTTCCCATTAATAGACCTTCAAAACATCAATAAAAATCCTATCAAGCACAAAGAAATAGTAAATAAAATTCGAGATGCATCGGAGACATGGGGTTTCTTTCAAGTGATCAATCATGGAATTCCAGTGTCAGTACTAGATGAAATGTTGCGAGGAGCACGTCGTTTTCACGAGCAAGAAATCGATGTTAAGAAGCCATACTATAGTCGAGATGTGGCAAGGAAGGTGATGTATAACTGCAATTTTGATTTGTTTAGTGAGAAAGCTTTAGCAGCAAATTGGAGAGACTCACTTTATTCTGTTATGGCTCCAAATTCTGCTAAGCCAGAGGAGTTGCCTGAGACGTGCAGGTACTTTTTTCGAGTTTAACTTTTATTCACTGATAATTAAAAACATGTAATGTCATAATAATTGCAATTAATAATCTGGAAAACCAGTTAAATACATTAATATTGGTTGTTGTTGGCCCGGGGGAGTTATAATGTCGGTGAATATAAGTTCAATTATTTTCTGAAAACTAACTTCATCTGTTTCATTTTATATGACACTTTTTCTTTTATTATTTTCTCTATCAAGCTAAATTTTCAATCATTACGTTGTTAATATAGTATACAAGTAAACTTAATATCTTAAAGTTCAATTGGAATTCTGTCCTATAAAATTAGAAAGAGGAAGTAATTAGGAGCATGATACAATGAACTAAAGAAATTTTGCTTTCACATCTTTTAGTATCAAATAATCCCTCTCCTAAAATATCTGAGCTACTCGGGTAAAGTTACTGTCATTTGACCAGAAGTTTACGTGTTCGAGACGGGGAAATAGCCTCTTACACAAATACAGGGTAAAATTGCATACAATAGACCCTTGGGGTCTGGCCCTTTCCCGAACCCCGCGATAGCAAAAGCTTAGTGCACCGAGCTGACGATAGTTCATGGTTCTTTTATGCTATTAGATAATTTAACCTAGAATAACAGGTAATTGTTTTATAAGAAAACACATATGGTAACTAAAGAATAGAATAATAACACGTTACAATGTGTTAGTATGACAACAACAATAATAGATCCAGTGTAATCCTACACGTGGCCGGATCTAGGGAGGATAGTGTGTACGTAAACTTTATCCCTACTTATGAAGGTATAAAGACACTATTTCCGATAAATCCTCCGCTCAATAATAAAACGTGTTAGTGCGATTTGTGTATATAATATAAAATTCCATTTTAATTTATCAACTTTACTTGCATTCTTGCAGGGAAATTGTAATAGAGTACTCAGATCATGTGATGAAATTGGGGTGCAATTTGCTTGAGTTATTATCAGAGGGTCTTGGTCTCAAACCTAATCATCTCAAAGAAATGGACTGTGCTGAGGGACTTGGCATTTTGTGTAATTATTATCCAGCATGTCCACAACCCGAACTTGCAATAGGCACAAGCAGACATGCAGATAATGATTTTTTCACAGTACTTCTACAAGATGATTTTGGAGGACTTCAAGTTTTTCACCAAAATCATTGGGTTGATGTTCCTCCTATCCATGGAGCTTTAGTTATCAATATTGGTGATATTCTCCAGGCAAGTCTTTTGTATTCTTTACTTCTTGACCTTTTGTTTAGGGTCAGCTTCGTGTACGAAGTATTCCGCGTTCACGCAGGGTTCGGGAAAAGGTTGTACCTGCACTGATGCAAGCATCAAGGGCTAGTTTCACGGCTCGAACTCGTAACCTATAGGTTACACGGAGACAACTTTAATGTTGCTCCAAAGTTCCCCTTCACTTCTTGACCTTTTGTTTAGGGAGCGTCCCGGGGCACGAAGCATCCCGCGTTCATGTAGGTCTATGAAAAGACTGCACCCCAAGGGGTATGATGTAGACAGCCTACCTTGATGCAAGCATCAGGGCTAGTTTCACGACTCGAATCCGTAACTTATAGGTCACACGAAGACAATTTTACCGTTGCTCCAAGACTCCCCTTCACTTCTTGACCTTATGTTTACGCATATACTTTACGGATAGTCATCCAACTATTGAATTATTGTATCAAAGTCATAATACTAGTTTTTTTAATTGAAGAAATAACTCAATTATACACATATCATAGAAAATAAAATGAAAAACAGAAAATGCTAGTCCGGTCCTGGAAACACAAGTGGCCGCTACATAACAACTTAGAGGGTGTTTGGCTAAGCTTATAAGCTGGTCAAATTGGCTTATAAGCACTTTTTGGCTTATCTACGCGTTTGGTAAAATTAAAAGTGCTTATAAGCCAAAAATAAGCCAAAAGTCATAAGCTGGTCTCCCCTAACTTATCAAATTTCAGCTTATAAGCACTTTAGGTTTGACCAAAAAATTTACTATTCTATCCCTAAAATACTTTTTTTTTAAAACAAAACTCTTCATATGTCAGTTCTTCAATTGCTTATTATTAATTTCAGCACTTTTATCCAAACACATAACTACTTATTTTTTAAATCAGCTTCAACACTTAAAAGTGCTTTTGAGCACCTAATACTTATCAGCTACTCTAAATTAGCTAAGTCAAACTTACAAAATATCTTTGTGCCATTACTTAAAAGTTAAAAATATTATTTTCTAAATCGCTTTAAAAAAACATGATGTACCACATGGTGGAAGAACGTTTGATATTAGCTAGGTTGGGTCAAGAAATGAGCTTTTTATTTTTTAAAAGTTGTATCACCTAATTGGTTATGTACGGTGAGTTGCTGGCATGACATATTTACATAGTGATTTTATACATATGAGAACTTATAACTTATTCTTTTAAAAAATTGAAATTAGCATTTTTCGGTTTTTTTTTTTACTTTTAATGTTATATAGACATACTTGAGTTATTCTTTTATTATAAAAGTTAGTTTTGCGACTTTGATGCAACCGACTGAATAATAGATGATAATCCATAAAAATTACCCTTTCTATTTTCGGCTGATATCAAATAAATCTTTTTTTTAATCAATTTTAATAGGTCACTGTCATTTTTTTTTTTTTTTTTTTTTTTTTTTTGAACTTTCGGTTTTCAGCTCATATCAAATGACAAGTACAAAAGCATAGAGCACAGAGTGCTGGCAAACAAAGTTGGTCCAAGAATATCAGTAGCAAGTTTCTTCGGCACAGGGCCATTGGCATCTTCAAGGATTTATGGACCAATTAAGGAGTTATTATCAGAAGACAATCCTCCAAAATATAGAGAAACTACAATGAAAGACTTCTTTGAATACTCTAGCCAGAAAGGACTTGATGGCAATTCTAATTTGTCTTACTACAGAATTTGAAACTTACACTTTGTTTGGATCATTGTTCCCCATTGTTTTATAATGTATTGTATGGTATTGTACCGTATCGTTTTATGAATAGAATATTTGGATAGATTGTATTGTTTATTATTGTTAAAATATATTTTGTTGTTTGGTTTCACTGTATCGTACTTTACTATAACTGATAAGTTTACTAAAATACCCTCAATTATTTAAATATTAAATTTATCAAAAATTATGTATAAAAATAATTTGAAAAAAACAAAACAGAAGAAGGCAAAACACCTTAAGAAAGCAAAACAAAGGAGTACATCTAATTAGAATTGAGTTTAAAGCAAATTAGGAGAAAAAATAAAACAGAAGGCGGTACTTTAGCATTGGCCTGAGAAAAAACAAAGTAGGTTATAGGTTGGAGATTTGGAGTTAAAATAGAAAAAAAGATAAAGGGTAAAATAGAATTGTGGAGTAATAAGTTAAGACATAATTGGAAAGAAAAATAGGAAACAATCCCACCACGCCAAATCGGTTGTTTCAAAAAATGGGATTTTTCATTGTTCCGAAACAATGAATTTAACAATACAATACAACCAATTTTAATGAAACAATAAAAACAAACATTGTTTTGGAATAACAATACAATACGATACAATGAGGAACAACCATCCAAACAAAATGTTAGATATTGAGTTGAAATAACGTTTTTGTGATTTAACTAGTAAATATATATATCCTTGAAGAGGTCCATGCCCGACCTCTTCCCTTGTACCAAAGGGTTATCGTCGTCATCCTCATCCTCATCCTCGTTATCGGAACTCGCTCCGGAAGCTGAAGACGAGACCTCGACCTCAGCTCGAGGCCAGTGAGACTTGGGCTTCTTTGATACAGGGGATTCGGCAGTCGTCCCCTTTTTCCTCTTCTTACCCTTATCGGGCTTAGAGGACCCTCCCTCGCCGACAGGAGGCGGTCTCATTAGCACTCAATCGCCAAGGCCTACGTGAGCATAGTAATCAAAATTTATCAGCACAGAGGATATGGGGAAGAAATATGAAAACATGATAGAGGCGGCAAGAAGGAACTTACCATGATTCTTGGCCACCCACCGCGATTTAGCCAACTCAGGCTAAGAACGATCGGGATAGGGGAGCGAGGTATTTAATCCCCTAATCCACCCCAACAGGTCCGAAATAGATTCAGGATACCAAAGGGCGGCTGTGTGAACAAAGGGAAAGTTAGTTTTTTTAGGTGAAAGTAAGAAGACAATAAAGCATACTCAAAGAAGAGGCACTTACGCTTCATGTTCCACTCCTCTGGGAATGGCATCCACTCAGCCGAAATAATGTCTAAGGTCCTTACTCAGACAAACCGGCTTATCCACCCCCGATCCTTGTGCTCATCGATACTCGAGAAAAAGGGTTTCGAAGATCGAGGGTGAAGATTGATCAAGCCTCGAAAAAGACGGGGGATGTACAGCCTGATCAGACGATCAAGGGTAAGAGTCGTACCTTTGACTTTGCTGGAAAAGTAGTGAAACATGTAAACTATCCTCCAGAAAGAGGGGTAAATTTGGCCAAGTGTCACCCGGTATTTACAATAGAAGTCGAGAATGACCGGGTCTATAGCCGGAGAAGAAGGGTTCGAGGAGTCGACAGGGCCCAAGGTGAACGGGTATGTGTATACATAAAGAAAACCGGCCTTATGGTCCGTTATGCTCTCTTTAGGGCTAGGGATCTCAATCAGCACTTTCTTCTCCCATTGCCGGTCCGCCCACACTTTGTCTATATGCTTCACAACGCTAATGAACCAAGACACATGTTCGCATCGACCCGGCGTAGATAAAGGTCTCTCGATGGAAAAATCCTTCATACTATCGAACTCGGTGGGTGTACACTGTACGACGGTAGGTGCCACTTTGGTCTTACCCTTGGATTTATTCTTGGATGCTCGAGGTAAAGAGGCAGCTTCATCTTTTTGAGGCACTGTCTTGGAGGTCCTGGCCATGGCAACAAAAAGTTTTCTTTTTCTCGAGAAGGAAGGCAAGAAACCAAGAACAAAAGAAAGAGGGGCGCAGAGGAAGATGGATTTGGCTCTGAAAGCTTGAAGGAATCACAAAAGTTGAGTCACTAAGCAATTGGGGTATTTATAGAAGCCGTATGGGCAGCGGAAAAACCCAACCAATAATGGTTCGTGGGCTTTTCGATAGTCGTGTTGACAGCGACCCTTGTGTGGCCGTTGAGTTATGGCATTTAATGCCCTGATAGGCTGACGTCATGACGGGTGCAAAAGTTCAAAATCGTTTTCTATCATCTTACTCTAGGAAATGCGGGAACTATCTGTATGCGGTAAAATCGGCGGGACCAATTTTCGGCCATTACGATGCTTCGTAAGCACGTTTTCCAAAGGCTCGAGGCTACGGTCGGGATTTACACCCGAGGGGTCATCAACGTATGACCTCAAGACAGTGCAGATCGACAGTTATGGTGAAAAAGTGTGAAGTTCTATAGGTGCGCGACTAGAGCTGACAAAGTCTAGTAGGCTAGTTAGGACCCGTATCATGGCATTAAATGGTTGTACCAGCCCCATATCTTTGTAATAAATGTATTTGTACTATGTTGGGATTCCCTCTCATATATAAAGGAGATCCTTGTCATTTTGTACAGGATATCTGATGCTCAATACTAAAAAATACAAGAACATTCTCTCTACTCTCTAACATATTCTCTTGATCTCATTACTTCTATTTATTGCTTATATTCATTGTGTTCTATTTATTGTTCTTCATTTATTGCTTATTATTGTCCATAAAGAGCTGTCATTGAATTTATCATAACTGTTAATTCCCCCTCGATCGCCCCTAGCCGAGCATCCGATTCGACCTCGGGGCCCGTATATGCCAGCTCGAGGCTAAACAACTAGCATAAAAATAGATCACATATTTTTAAAACCACAAAATTAAATCTACATGTTATTACCATTTTCGAGGTAAATAGCTACTGGACATTAATGTAAGTAATCCATACATAACAAACTCTTGATTATTATTCACCGTACAAATAATTATTTTATTACAACACCCGGCATTATAATATTTGAACAAATGAACAGTACGTTTTTTCAATATCTGGTTTTGTTAAAGTTTCTCAAATCAGCTAAAGTGTGAAATATCTTTGTGTAGATGCATCTCTCTAATAACAACAAAAACAACTCACTATAATCTCATTTAGTGGGGTCTGGGAAGGGTAGTGTGTACGCGGACCTTAACCCTAACTTAGGGTAGAGAGGATGTTTCCAAATAGACCCCCGGCATCCTTCCCTCTAAGAACTTTCCATCTTGTTCTTGGGGAGACTCGAATTCACAACTTCTTAATTGGAAGTGGAGGTTGCTTACAATCAGAGCACCTCTTGCTTACCATGTCTCTAACTTGTTCATTATCTGAATTCTCTACGTGGTGTAGATGTGATGACAACGATAGATGCTTCGTATGTCTCCTTTGCTTTTTGCTTTTTCTTTTTTTTGTTGGCTTATTCTATGTTTTTCCATTAATGAGATACATAATTACATATAATAGAAAAGATCTCAAGAAGGCAATCACATGGTCCCTGCAAAATTATAGAGAAAAGACCACGTTTACTATCACACAAGATCAGTCAGTTTAAAGAACATAGACCAACGATGAGAAAGAAGTTATTTCAAAATTAATTATCCCGAGATTGTTATTGTACCTTTTTATAAGGATAAATTATCCTAGGAATAATATGCGATATTTGTGACTGATCAAAATGGGAGTTAGACGAGATTTTTGATTCATTCTTCAAATTTTCAAACTTAGAAACTCTAGAAGTGATTTTTCAAAGAAGTCTTCTTCCCCAAATCATTGGTAAGTAATTCTAAACTAGTTTATTTCAATCTTTCACTACTTTTCCTAAGATTTCAATATAAAATCTAGTGTGTTCATGGTGGAAATTGGGGGTTTGGGTAGAATTAGGGATTTTTATAAAATGGGGATTCAGACCTCAAATTGAGGTCAGATTCCAAAACAAATTATATAATCGGGCTCGAGGCCAAATGAGTAATCGTATTTTGGTCCGAATTTCGGGTTTGGACCAAGCAGGTCCGGGGTCGATTTTTGACTTTTTGGGAATTCTAAATCTATGCATTGTAATTGATTCCTTTAGCAATATTTGATATTATTGAAGCAATTGTGGTTATATACAAGTGGTTTGGATGCAGATTCTAGGGGGAAAACCCCGATAGAGCTTTTAATTGACTGCGGAGTGAGGTAATTGCCGTGGTTAATCTTGACTGGAGGGAATTAAAAACCCTCAGACTATGTGCTATGTGAATTTCATGTGAGCGACGTATATGCAAGGTGACGAGTGCTTATACCCCACCGAATTATCAGTTTACCTGATTTTCCGTTTTTTCTTAATTGTCTTTTTCCTTGTCTTAACTGTTATATGCTCTAAATGCTTTCCATGTTTAACTGCTACCTGTTAATTAATGTCTTCTGCAGTTAATGATGTTAGACCTTTTCATAGTTTCCCTGCTATTTGACTAAATTGACTCACTAGCACATTCTAATTGTCAATTACTGGATTGGTCTCGCTGAGTAGTATTACTTATGTAGAACCCTCTGTTGTACAAGGTTTTTCTTTTTTGGTTCCGTTTGGTATTTATTGATTGTAAAGGTTTTCCTGGTACGAATTATTAGTTTGACTATGTACATTGAGTACTTAATATTGATATGGTGGGATTGGGTTGCACGTCACAATATGTGGAATAAGGGTGAAATGATATGGTGGAATAAGGATGAACTTGTATTGATACAGTGAGATCGGGTTACACAACGCAACAGGTGGAATAAGGGTGGATTGATATGGTGAAATAATGGTGGATTATGATACTGATATATGGTGGGATCGGATTGCGCGCTGCAACATTTATATATTATCTCTGTTGTTGATGTCATTACGGTGAAATAAGGGAGGATTCTGTGTTGTACGGTGGGATCGGGTTGCGCGCTGCAACAACCTATGTGTTTTCATTTCTTGAGTTGTGTTGGTTTTCGGTATTATCATTTTGAAATGGTAAGGATTGGTAATTCTGGACGACACTGGTTTTTTTAT